CTTTGAACCTGCCCTGTCAGTCCAAATGAGAAAAAAAAAAAGCACCCCAGGTGCACCAGGCCTCCCTGGCCTTTTTTAAGATCATCCTTCGAGTGCTGGGGTTTGAGTCACCCAAAAAGCTGTGCCCTCACTGGTGCCGGGTTCCCACTCTGTAGTGGGTCCCCAAAATGAGGCCTCCTCCTTCCCCTAATAGCCTCACCCAAGCCACCAGTCTTAATAATCACAAATAATAATAATAATAAAGCAAAGCAACAGGTCAGCTTACATGAACCTGTTTTGGGCCTCAGCTCCACACTGTCATCCACAGTCCTGGCTGGGGTGCAGGTGCCATCTCTCAGGGGCTTCTGTAGTTTCCCCCTTCTGGCCATGGGGCGCTCCCCAAGCTTCTTCATGGAGCTCTCAGATGCACTGCTTCCCCTTCAGCTGCTGAGCCCCTTACTGCCATTCCACTCAGGGTTTTTATAGTCCTGCCTCTTCCAGTCATCTGACTAGCCGTCCAGGTTCAGCAGTTAACCCCTTCCTCACCAGCCCTCCGTACCCAGAAAGTTCTGGCCTTAAAGGGGCACACATACTTCCTCGTAACAGGGTTAGGGTTTCCTGTTACAGGAGGGTAGGGTGCTAACTCTCTTTACACTGAGGCAAATAGCCAGATCTTAAAGCCCTTACTGGGGCAAAACAGCACAGGCATCCGGTAGGTGCCAAGAAGTTGCTCAAATACCTGTGGGCCAAATCCTCAGTGGGTGTAACTAAGCATAGCTTCTGTGGCTGCACTGCTGATTTGTGGCTGATGAGGTTCTGGATCCTTCATCCTTAGTACTTTCTTAATCTGATAAACTAAATATGCTAAACTTCATCTCGGCACCCCCCCGTCCCCGGTCACCTTCCTTTCATCACCTCACTCTTTCACCGTACAAACAAGACTACATGTGCCTTGGATCTGCATAGATTCATAGATTATAGAGTTGGAAGGGATCCAATGGATCATTGTGTCTGACCCCCTGTCCCTGGCAGGAAAGAGGACTGAGGTCAGATAACCCCAGCCAGGTGATTGTCAAGCCTCCTCTTGAAGACCTCCAAGTTAGGTGATAGGACCACCTCTCTTGGAAGCCCATTCCAGACTCTGGTCACCCTTACTGTAAAAAAATTCTTCCTAATGTCTAACTTAAATCTACTCTCCACTAGTTTGCACCCATTATTCCTAGTTACTCCCTGGGGCATTCTGGTAAACAGTGCATCCCCAATTCCTTGCTGTCCTTCCCTGATAAATTTATAGGTGGCTACCAGGTCACCCCTCTTGAGGGCTAAAACAATGCTACCCTGCTCAATGGGCCAGTCACCTCTCCTCCCAACCCACCCCACCCTTTGCTCTTGTAATCCTCTCTATGGAGAGGCAGGTCAGACAAGAGCCCACAGATTTCTGCCGTGCAGGAAGCTGATCAGGTCAAGCCTCTCCCAAGATTTCCAACTGGGTTTGCCTTTTATTGCCTTTTCATCTGTCCTTCCGAGTAAAGTGGTCCTAAATAGCTCACAAGATAATAATAATGTAGCCAGTCCCTAAGTGTGACATATCCCTGCCTCAAGGGTTAACCTGATTGGCTCGGTCCCTGAGACCATCGCTAGCCATCCTTCAAACAGCATCTGCAGATCTTTGAATACTGGAATTGCATGAAAATGTGTCTTGTGCTGGGTGTGGCAGAAACATTCCGGCCTCTGAGATTTGCTACTGGCATACAGCACTGATTTGTATTTTACCTGCAGCACCTCAAGAGGCAAATGAAAATATAATGAAAAAGAGATCAAGAAGAATTTAGACATTAATGTTGCCATAAATATGTGTCACCTCCCAGAAGGGATGTAGAACATGCAGGGTACAGCAGAACCATGGGGCTGCTTTAGATGAATGAAACCTTGAACTTAGTTTTTATTTCTAGAAGTGTGTTAAAATGACAGTGGGAATGCCTCTAATCACTCATTTTAGCTCTTTAAGACATCTCTATCATGATGGATTAGAAGAAGGACCCTTACAAGGATCAGGAGGCTGTAACCCACTAAAGCAAACTGATACAGTTAGTGCCTTGCAGAGGAACACGTTTCAGATAAGCTATTTTTGATCTCTGCATGACGAGTAGAAAAATCAAGCCCATAGGGGCCATGCTTTATCTGCAAAGTTAAAATGAACATCTTCTCTGACTAACACAATATCCTCATTTTCTGAGCTAGCTCCCATCGAAGGCAATGGCAGACTTTCTGTTGACATCAATGAGCTTTGGATCAGGTCTCCAGTGAAAACTGAGAGGACCTAAAAATGCCTCAGTTAGTGCCTTCTGAAGCTTTTATGTCCTAATTCTGCTGTTCTTTCTCAGTGAAATCTCACACTGGATTCAATGGGCCCTAGTATTCACTAGCTTGAAGTTTATGTATTGTTTGCATGGGGCAAAGTGAACACAAAGTTGGTGCCAGACCTCGTCATTCTGATTGGAATAAAGACTTTTATATCTGCACAGGTATAAGGACCTGATGCAGAATTCATTGAAGTCAATAGAAAGACTTCCACTGACTCCAGTAGGCCTTGAACCCAACCTTACATGACCGTAGAAGGTGGAAGACTGGAAGCAGGTCTATTTATTCACTGGCAAATCTTCACTGGAGGAGACCGAAGGATTGCAGAGTTTGACCCTATCTGTGGTTTTCCTGAGACTGATGCTAATATGCTATCAGTTCTGGGAGCTTTATTTTGAACCCATGCAGATAAACTGACATAGCCTCAGATCTGATAACTCAGGGAGGAGAAAAGAGATGAAAATCTTTTTTCAGTCCTTACAAATAAAAAGAAGATGCGATTGAAAATGTCATGTTTTGGATGCATGAGCGGACTCCTATAATCAATCATCCCAAATAAACCACTATATTTAGCAGCTATTTAAAGGCAAGGAAGCAAGCTATCTATGTGCTTATACTGCACAAAAATGCTATCATGTCTCATATCTAAATCTATCCTGGGCTGTATACCACCTGCACTATCATAATATTGAAGTACCTTATACTCTTCAGTGTATCTATCCTCACTACCTTAGGGATAGAGAGGTGTGACTACCCATGCTTTGCAGATCAAATGGACTTTCTAAGGTATGCAGGAAGTCTGTGACAGAACAAGGAATTGAACCCAGGTGTCCTGAGTCACAGGTCAGCATCCAAAAACCACTAGCACACAGCCTTCTTCTTGTGGCTTCCTGTATGGCTTTTCATATACATATGTCTTGAGTTTTCTCTTCTTTCTGGGTAATTGCCATAGAAAATGACTTAGTACAATGAGCAAATCATATAACACTCTGCAGGATAGCTATTTAGTGTTTTGCTTTGCACTTATAGCTTCCATTAAATAATCTGTTAAGTTAAAAAAATGCTCTACAATGTAGTGACTACATTATAATTACTAGGTGTGTCTGTTGAAAATCCAAGAAAAACTGATTGTGTAATAGGGGTGAGATGTTTACAGAGTGCAGTTGAACACACAGGAAGGGGAAAACAGCATGCAAAATAGACTCAGCAACTCTAGCCCTTCCGTTTCCAAAGGGGCTGCAGTAGGTTCAAACAAGCCCAACCTAGAACTTGGTACCCCACTCCCACAAGGAATTAAGGATGTCATATGCAGCAGTGTATGACTCTGTCTACACACCTGGCTTTCATCACTGTAGTACATCTATATTTGGTAGCATTATATTCTCACTTTGCACTGCTATAAATGACTTGTGCGCTAGGCAGGGCAGCAGAGAATCGGGCCCGTGGAAACTATTGCCAAGAATAGCTGCTACAAGTTTCCTAATATTTTATGAAGGAAGAGAGAGAAGTAGAAGAGCCAGTTATAACAGCTAACCCTTCCTTCATTGCTCTGAGCAAGCAATTTCCCTCCTTTTCCTTCTTGTTCATTAATGATGCAAGCAGACGCTTTCTTTAAAAAATAGATATATGTTCCTTATACTGCCTGCTATGCACGGTAATGTGATAAAGACTCACCAGAGTCATCTTTATTCTGTGCTGAGCCGTCTTTGTTCATCTACAGGTATTTGCCTGGAAAGCTCTCTCAGTCATTTTGTAGAGTGTCTGTGTTTTTCCTCGGCACTCTCTTTCCCTGAGGTATCATCAGTTTCTGGCAAGCTTCGGTCTTTTTTGTTTGCCTTTCAGGCCTGGGCAGAATCTATGAGAGCTTTGAAAATGCAGTCACACGGAGGGCTTTGCAAGGGTCAGTGTGAATGGTTCATATTGTTCTACAGATCCTCCCCATAATTCCACAGGCAGGTGTGAATAGAAATGTGCAGCTGCATTTTGATCTCAGTTACAGTGATGTTAATCTGGCGTAACTCCAGTGAATTCAAGGAAGTTCGTCCAGATTTACATCATCTTAAAACTAGGGGCAAAATGAAGCCTTACCTCTGCATGTGCCATTTTCGCAATCCATTCTGGATTATTGCTCTTCATTCTGGAGCGAGCATTTCCAGTAGTACTGACTCCCCAGGACCTTAGGGCAAGCAATCTCAGCATTGATTTATTATATGTCTCTCCCTCCTTTCATTCATATTTAACACAGTGCATTCACTGGGCTTTATAACAAGAGCTTGAGGAAACCGTGGCAGCTCTTATTCTAGTCAAGGACCTGATCCTCTATTTCTGTGCATCGTGTGCAGTCTCTTACAGCACTGAGAAGCGAGAGTAAAATGGTACCGATCAGATGATCAGATAGTATTGACAAATGGAAGTCCCTCTCCCTCCCCACATGAATATACACAAAACAAATGCCTGAATTCTTGCTTTGTGAATAATTACACATTTATGTGTGAACTACCTATTTTCTAGCTGCAGAATGCATGCAACTCCAACCTAGCTGATCACAAAACTCAATCCAGAATTTGATCACGTACTCTGATTGAAAGGCGTGTGTGAGAGAAGAGTGCATATTGTATGCAAACAGGAAAATCAGTTTCTACTATTCAAATATCAGTACAGAGAAGACGTTGGTGCTCGACAACTCTGCAGTCTCCTTTCATTTTTTGCAACAAAAAAGCACTATGGACAGATATCAGAAATATTTATTAGCCTTCAAGAGATCAAAGCTCCCTGAGCTTTTGGTCCAGCTGCATTTGTCTTCAAATTCTTTGGCAAGAGCCATGGGAGGGTCGGTGAAATGGATGCTTGGCAAATTTAAAAAATGATAATATTTGCATACATAAGAAGCTTGTGGAGCCCACTGCCAAAAATACAATTGAGAATAAGAACTTAGCAGGATTCAAATAAAAAAAAAGATTGAAGATTTAGATGGATAAAAAGCTCTGTGATAGTAAGAACAAAATATCCCTAGCATTTGGGATGGGTTACAAACACTCCTGCTTAAAGGTGCAAACCAACTTCTGACTAATGGGGATTAGAAACAATCTCTTTCTACTGCCAAGATATTCTATAATTGCCTTTGGCATGTTTTCGTATTCTTTCCAGTCCAACTTCTGGCCCTGACCAGCACTGGTAATACGACACTGTGATAAAACAGAGCCGATCCGATTCCAAGTGTTGACTCTTGTGGTAGTGTGAGAGCTGGCATATTGAATGACAAGCTATGGACCAGATAGGGCACCTCCTGTGCTAAAAGTATGAGATACTACAGCTTGCACTAATGCTGGGCCTGTAACATATTCTCATCCTCTGTGGACTGCAGGCCTGAATGCCTAGGATCCCAAACCTGCCAAGATCTTGGACTATGTCTTTCAGCTCCTAGATATGGGCATTTCTCAGAAAGGCACTTTGAACATCAAGATGCTCTGGCAGAATATTAAAGCTCGGAGCTACACATCTGGCCTCTTTCACAGAGTCATAGAGGCATAGAGAAGTAGGGCTGGAAGGAACCTCCTTAAGGCATCCTCCTAATCCAGACCTTTCTATACAAATCTACTGTCTAACCTTGTAGCAGATCTACCCAGTCAACCTTGATGCCACACAAGACTTAACACTCTAACCTGCCACAGGTGAAGCATGGGGACCATGGCAGCCAATGTCCTGCTGTTGTAAATGTTGTTCATATACTCTCAAGAGATCCCAGGAAGAGGGCCACACACCCCACTACAGAGGAATGCAACCTCTCCCCCCGAACCCACAGTTCATATCAAGCTGACCATAAGGCAAAAGCCTTCCTGACCCCAAATATGGTGATTGGTCTGACAGTGCAGAGGGGCAAGACTCTAAAGGCAAGAGCCTTCAGTTTTGAGTCTTGACAGGAGCGCTGACACACCTCTATCAAAATCTCCAGCTGTGGCTGAAGCCAACACCCAGTGCCCCTGAGGAAGGCTTATAAATCCCTAACACATACATGTAGCATCCAGGGGGGAGCAGGGGATTCCCTTTGAGCCCCATGTGGCAACCAACTATCTTTCCTTCCTAATTAAGAATAGTAGGGGCACTCAATAGACATTTTCTCCTGTGAGCCACCCTTTTCCTAGGCAATTAAAATGGGAATTAGTCCAGCACAACAACAATAGCCACGTTGAGTAAAGATTGAAGGAAGCATGGTAGAAACGTCTGATTTTCAATATCTGACAGACCCCAGTATCTTCCTCTAAGTCTCCTGCCTTTACAGGGTGCTATAGGAGCACTGAAGCCAATGCTTTTCTCTGAACAGAATAGGAAATCCACCCTTTATCTGAATCTGTGCTGCCTCGGAGAGTGGGTGGTACTGCTCATGTCTTAGCTACTATCAGTCTAGCTAGAGTTTCATATAATGATAGCTTGGAAGAGCTGCAGGGGGCCCACCCACATGCTGCAAAGGTCTCAGCAGTATTTTCTATACATTAAAACCACAGAGTTGCAGAAGTCGCAGCTATACACTGCAAAGACTTCAAACAGATTTGCTACAGCGCTTCCAGCATGCTGGTTACATGCCTGGAAGGTATGACCCAGCTATACATACTGCTCTATATGCTGATTCTGTGGGCTGCTGGGATCTCGCTTTGCTGGCTACCCCAGCTCTAGGGCTCCATTAGCACCAGTGATGAAACACATAGTTTCTATTATTGCATGATGCCCGCAGGATGGATGGTGGACACAGAGTTGGCTTAGCATCTTCTATTACACACCACTCCCAGCCTAGGGGTTGTAGCTAGAAGAGAGGGGGCATTCAATACTGACTGTGATGAGCAAGTACCAGAGAGCCAGCATATCTGCTCAACCCCAAACTCAGAATGGATGTAGCCAGGCTAGATGATGAACCTGAATGACATATCCCATAGTCAGTGCCAGCCATATAAGGGGGTCTGCTCAGTGTATTTCCTTCAGACTTGCATGGTCCTGCTAAGGCTAAGACTTGCTCCTAAATCCTGCTGTGGCTCTTGCTTGCTTAGATGCCCCTTGCTGGGTGTCACCCTTCTACTTCTCAGGTCCCCAGTTCCAGTGTAGATTAGGTTCTTCTTTAGACTTCAAGTTTGGCTCAGACTTCCTGCTTCTCTTCCTCGGGACTGACCCTGCTCCAGCCCTGGACAGGTCTCTTGGGGCCTTACGTCAACTGTTATGATAGCAGGAAAACTTCAGGTGGCCATAATTTACAGGGGACCAGGTTGATGTACAACTGGCTCAGCATCCGCACGGAGTGCAAAGGTGGTTGAAAGCTACTTCGGCACCCACTGCCCTCCTGAGTTACCCTCTGCTGTGAATCGCGTGGACGCTGCTGAAGAGGCGAGCAATGTGTTTTTTTCAGTAGCACTGAGGTGCTATTGCCACGGTGTCTGATACACAGAGCAAAGTACTCAGCCATAGAGCCTTTCCTGCATGTGAATCTCATTCACCTTTAAGCTAATAACTTAATCTGTCTATTGTGTTTACAAGGCGCCTATCACCTTGGTATCGAAGTAGTACCGCAAAATTACCCACTGTATAAGCGAAACACAGGCAAAAATTGTGTATTGGATCCCCAGCGACCATTCTGCTGCACATACCGAGCTGTTTCAGATTTTATTTCCCAATGAATGTCACTTGAAAATGTTAAAAGCTTTAATACAAACCAAGTGTTGAGAGATTTAGGGACCTTCTCCTTTCCTGATTCTTAGTGGGACGGAGATGCATCCCTCTCCCCACTAGATGGCACCAGAACTCCTCTCTCCCTCCCCCTCTGCCCCCCC